AAAAGCACATCCTCCCTCTGACTTTTATTTAGTAAAAATCAGTTTGACCCACCGAAGCATTGGCTGCAGTAACAGTGCCTCCTTTCTTGAAGACGGTCGGCAGCTTTGCCATCTGCTCCAGTGTGGTCTGAGGACGGGGGTGTTCGTCAGACGTCATGGACACTTTCCCTTTCTTGGCCTTCACATCAATGGGTGCGATCTCAGCGTTGTAGTATCCAGCCTCATGAGCTAAAGCAGAGACAGATGTGTGTGTGAGTGAGTGTGTGTGTGTGTGTGGGTGTGAGTGAGTGTGTGCGTGTGTGTGAGTGAGTGAGTGAGTGAGTGAGTGTGAGTGTGTGTGTGTGTGTGTGAAAGTGTGTGAGCGAGTGTGTGTGTGTGAAAGTGTGTGTATGTGTGTGTGAGTGAGTGAGTGTGTGTGTGTGAGTGTGAAAGTGTGTGAGCGAGTGTGTGTGTGAAAGTGTGTGTATGTGTGTGTGAGAGCGAGTGACTGTGTGTTTGTGGGTGTGTGTGAGAGCGTGTGTATGTGTGTGTGTGAGAGCGAGTGTGTGTGTGTGTGTGAGAGAGAGTGTGTGAGCGAGTGTGTGTATGTGTGTGAGCAAGCGAGTGTGTGTGTGTATCGATGCAGCACTGAACCGGTGTGAGGTTGATCCGCTCACCTGCTTTCCACCTCTGCTGGGTCTGATATGCGTACTGGTCACAGTCCTCGCGGCTGATCTGGTATTTCTCTGCCAGGTTCTCTGCTGTGATGCCCATGGGCAGCTTTATGTTCAGATCCGTCAGTCCTGCCCACAGCGTGTCTTCCAGCTGACTCACACACAGACAAGAACTTTTACTCAGAGCCATTGAAGTCCACTTTAAAATCTCACACAAAATATACCTGTAAATTTGAGTGTGTCTAAATATGCAGATGTTCTTAGCACTGTTTTGAACTAATATTATAATAAATTATTATATAGAATTATTTATTATAATATTAGTATTATTTGATATTAATTACCTTTAAATTAATATATTATTACCTTTAATTTAAAATATATTATTTGCTCTTATACTGACACTTCCAACACTGTATATATATTGTCTATTTATTTTGTTAGATATTTTTTTTACCCATAAAGAGATTTTTTTCCCCCTACTCTATCACAATTTTAACTCACTTCTCAAATCTTTGTTTATCTAGTAATAAAAAAATGACAGATTCCTGAAGCAATATGAAAGATTTTTTGGTAATGCTATTGATAAGGTTTAGTCTGCTTTCCTCTGCTTGTCAATGCTGTCCATTTTATTTTAAGTATTTATTTGTTAATTTATTATTTTTAATAATATATTTTTTTATCCATGTAAATTTTTGTAATTTAATTTATTTTTTGTTTTATTCATCCTTTTAATAATTTTGCTTACGTATGGGTATTCTTTTTGCTTGTTGCATGTTTTGTGTAGATGCTTTTTAACATTTTCCTGAAGGTGTTTTTATGTTTAAAAAAAGAAAAGTTTTAAAACCAATGATTTTCCATGACTTTTGCTCATTTGTCATCGCTGGATAAAAATAATTTAATTGCACTCCTTTTAAAGCCAATGAAATATTTAGAGCAGAGCACAACTAGAAAAATTGAAATTCATTATTGAAGCCTCCAAATTCAATTCAGAATCAGTGGACTTTAAATGAAGCGTCTGATCTTTACCTTCAAATCCACTCCAAACTTGGTCCCAAAGCGGATGTTCCTGACGGCGTAAGGCGCTTGGCTCATGCTCTCTGAGCCTCCACACAGAACGACCTCTGACTCTTTAAGGCAGATCTCCTACAACACAACACACAGCGATCAGCACCTCATCTGAGGAGACTGCTGTGCTGTTTGACATTCGTTTAGAGCTCGTACCTGTGCTCCGTTGATTATGGCCTGGAACCCGGAGCCGCAGAGGCGGTTAACGGTCAGCGCTGGCACTGGGATGGGAACGCCACAACGCAGACCCACGTGACGCGAGATGTACGGCGCGTCTGCAGAGCTCTGGATCACAGACAGAGAGAACACTGACACAAATGAACTTCAGAAGACCAGGGTTTCTCTCGTTTTATTTGACTGATTAGTGCAAAAAAATTTAAATTCAAAGATCAGTGGTAACATAATACACATGTGATCACATGTGATGTGCTGATCTTTAATATGTTGGGATATATGATATATTGCGGAGCATATACTGTAGATATTGTCAAATTAGACCAGGGTTATTATGGTTAAAACTAAAACTAAAACCTTAAAAAGTTAATAAATGTCAACTAAAATATAAACAACGTTTTATATTACCAAAGCAACATATGTCACTTTAATTTAGTCTAACTTGATGTATGAAAATAATGAAACTAAAACTAAAATAAAAATTAATTACATATATTACATATACATTTATTGATAAGCCTGTGTGTGAACTGATATTAGGCTAATATTGTAGACCTACCGATGTGTTGTTTTTTTTTGTTCAATATGATTTTAAGTGTGAGAAGTGGGAGTTTACGAGATGTCCTCAGTCCCAGACGAAACCTAAAATACTATGTGGATGACGCAAAATAATTTAATAATCAGGCTATATGACCGCGTGGTGAACCTATGAACCGAACTCATATTTAAACACTGTCTCCATGCTGTGTACACATATCTATTCTTACAAGTACAATTTTGGCTGTATTATTTGTGTCCCCTTCAAAAATTGCTCTTGAGAAATTTTATGTCTATTGTCCCCTCCCCTCCCCCCACTGTTATCACGCCCTTGATGATTGCTATAATGTGTGTCCCTAGTCGTTCAGAGCCGTCCGTATTAGAGCCCGACTGATATATCGTTTTGCCGATTTTATCGGCCGATATGAGCCTGTCGCCGATATATCGGTATCGACGAATATGCCGCCGATATGAACAGTTTTTTTACAGAACATATAACGCAGATAAAATGCTTGAAATGGTGTAATTACTTAGTTTGTCCAGCAGAACGCGCTCCATTGTTTGCTACTGGCAACCTGGATGAAACACTTTAAAGCTTAAGTGTATGGAAAACCATTGAAACTTTGAACGGCCATATCTCCGTAACGGCGCGGCAGATCCACACCAAATTCACACCCTTCAGCTCAAGGAACCCTCTTGAACGCCGAATCGAGTGTACATCTAGAGGCCCCCTTCCGACCACCCCCGCGTCGATAGCCCCCGGGGTTCGGGAGTTACGGGTAGTGTCCAAACTTTTGACTGGTACTGTACTATAATATAAACAAAGAATATCGGCCGATATATCGGTATCGGCCTTTTTTATTCCCTAATATCGGTATCGGCCCCAAAAAAACCCATATCGGTCGGGCTCTAGTCCGTATGTCTCTCACCTGCATGACGTTTCCCACGATGACACTGTTGACCAGCTCAGGAGCCACGTTCCCCGCAGCGAGAGCAGCTTTAGCGGCGTGTTCGGTCAGATCTGTAGCGCTGTGCTCCTTCAGAACCCCTCCATACGTGCCAAACGGCGTCCTCTTAGCCGAGACGATGAACACACCTACACAAACACACAGAGAAAAGAGAGAGACGGTCAGTTTCCTGCAGCTAATGTATAGAAAATGATAATGCCATCTTCAAGAATCAGTTTAAAACGCATCTCTTCCATCTTTATTTGACCCTCTAACTTCTAGAACTCTCTATTCTAATTCTATTCTTAATATTCTTGCACTCTATTCATTTACTAGCTGCTTGTTTTCATACAAAAACTAACTAACACAAGCTTCTCTAGCCTTTTTGTATTCTATCCATTTGTTTTATTTTTATTTATTATAAAAAAAGGCCTGTAACACTAGCTTGCTCTATTCAATCTGTGTTCTTTTTATTATATAATAATAATAATAAAAAACCTTGCTAAGTGTACTATGTTAAGCTAACTGAGATTTGTTATAGCACTTGCGTATCATTGCTCTTTTGTTGATTTTGATTGTCCTCATTTATAAGTCGCTTTGGATAAATATGTATGTAGCTAAATGTATGAAAACAACAGAAAATCAACACTGTATTATCCAAAATATAGACACTATTGCATTATAACCAACGTGCACAGATTATACATTAAAATAGGTCCAAAGAGTAAACATTACAAGAGTAAACAACAGTTTATGTCACTGACCTTTAACCTAATTCTGTCAGCAATGACTTTTATACATAGTTTTAAAAATCTGAAGCTTGAGTTTCCTACAAAACAGGTCACTTATTTATATTTATATTTACTTCTGTTTTGATTTGTAATGATGATTTAAACTAAAGCTTTGAATCTCTTAATACTTTGCTCGACGTTTTAATAAAGAGTAGACTAGCTATGCACCTATTAATATTTTAGAGCCGTTTTTAACGGTAACTTAAGGGAAAAAACGAATAAATAAATTCAAATATGAAACGTGACGTTCAAGCGCAGTGCAAAAAAAACAAGCGCAAAACCAGATAAAACAAACAAATCATTCGACCGGTTCAACACAAGGCATTATTTCAAAGTAAAAAAATATATAAAGTTAGTTAACTTACCTCTCAGGAGAGACATGATTGTGTTTGCAACCGTTCGAGAGTCACTGCGGACAGAAACACACACACCGCGCTGACCTTTCACACACTTACCTCACCATTCACTTCACAACATTCGACAAACCTCTCAAATATTACATTATGTAAAATAATGTCTCACTTTTCACGTACACTTTAAAATATCTATGTAATAATTATTATATGTATCTATACTTGATATCGATCGAAGATGAAAATACATTAATGCGGAAAGTGCGTCTGTTATAGCGGACGTGTTTTTTTACCCTGACCTCTTTGCTACAGATCCACGTTGTCCGCCGGAAGGTGTTAAACTGTTTTAATTCTTCAACGTTGATGCGTATAAAGTCGATATTTCTGTAAATGATGGCGGGGATTGTGTGCCGTACAGCAAGCCGAATTATATCGAGTCAAGTATCATGGTACGTATTCGGCTTTGCATGATAATATCAGTATACCTCTTATAGAGGTCATTATGATTATGATTATGATGATAATTAATAACTCTTTTACAGTAGCAGCTCTGTGGTTTCTGTCAGACACAGTCACTGGTTCACTTCAGTGCTTTCCCTGAAAACCTCTTCGCCACTGAGGTCAGTGCAGAAACAAACTATTCCCTTATCACTGTATAACTCTATAGCGAGAGAGAGAGTTTTTTGAATATTGTAATATATTTTTGTAAGGGTGTTTCACTGTAATAAATGCATAGAAAACATTTCTTATACTCCACAGAGCAGAACCCAAGAAGAAGAAGAAGGTGGACCCTCGGCGAGAGATAATGATGAAGGAACGTCTGAAGAAGAAGCTCAAAAGGCTGGAGAAAGTTGCACCAGAACTGATTCCTATTGAAGACTTTATTACCCCAGCCAAGTGCTTTGACGAGACCAGGTGAAAAATAACACATCCATAACTACACCACCAGTCAAAAGTCTGGACACACCTGCTTTATTCTTTACTATTTTAGAGTAGTAGTAAAATCTATGGATGTATTGGAATCTTATTTACTACAGGTCACAAGTTTGGAATATTTAGGAGTTTTTAAATATTTTAAAATGCATTTATTTGATCAAAAAAGCAGTTTACGGCAATATTATTATTATAACTATGTGAATATCTGTGATTGATTGCTGTGATCAAAGCTGAATTTTCAGTCTTCAGTGTCACATGATCTTCAGAAATCATTCTAATATGCTGCTTCGCTGCTCGAGAACATTTCTGATTATTATCAATGCTGAAAACACAATGTCTTACGCTATAAAATAACTGTTTTAAATTTGAATGTTAAAATGTCGTTTATTCCTGTCGTGACAAAACTATATTTACCGATTCAAATAATTTTGAAAAAAAGCATAAAAGTATGCTGAAAAAATATTATGCAGTAAAAACTGTTATCAGCTTTAATAAGAAGAATTGCTACTACCATTACTAATAACTGAGCACCAATAATAATTAAGCAGCAAATCAGCATATTAGAATGATTTCTGAAGGATCATGTGACACTGAAGACTGGAGTAATGATGCTGAAAATTCAGCTGCGCATCACAGAAATAAATCACATTTTATAATATATTCATGTAGATTTTAAATTCTAAAAATATTTCACAATATTACTGCTTTTACGGTATTTTTGTGCAAATAAATGCAGCCTTGGTGAGCAGAAGAAACTTCTTTCCAACACATCTTAATTATTCTAAACTTTTGCCTAGTAGTGTAGACACAAAAAAAAAAGATTTTTAGAAAATGTCTTACATGGTACAAAGAAGGGGGAAAAAATTAATAAGTGTGGAACTAGGGTTGTGACGGTGAGGAATTTTCCCACCGGTTAATCGACGTGTGACAACACCGGTAATACTGGTATCACCGTGGGGGCGGAGCGTTCCCTCTTTTCCTCGCTTTCCTTCGCTTTTAAATAGCTTGTAAAAGCTGCGTGCGCATTTTACTTTCACTTTCAAATAGCGGCAATTCGGCGTAAAACAATTGTTTGTCAAACAGGCGCTTTTGCATCTAGTTTCGAAACTAAATCATCCGCGGTCGTCTTGTCTGTCTCAACTCACTCTTTTTGTCAGTCAGCTTGACTCGCTCTCCTCACTGGAGAAATTAAATCTGATCTGTGATGCGACTGTCGTTCGGCACGCTGCATTGAGCAGCCGCGTTCAGTTTTTAACTGTAGTGTCTGTTCTTTTACTGAACTAAATTATTTTTATTTCTATAAAAAATCAAAACGACGGTGGGGGTCGGTGACGCAGTGGGCAAGTGACGTAACCGGTGTTGCGGCTTAACACCGGTTTCACCGTCAGCACCGTCTATCGCGGCAAGCCTATGTGGAACCTCTTATTATTGTGATTAGGCCATTTGAATTAAATTAAATCTAATGTGTGCTCCAGGATCCGTGACGCTCCTAAACACTCTTTTGAGGAGAGCGAGCGCAGAGCCCTTCTGCTGAAGGAATGGTCCAGATACAAGTACAGCCAGCACCAGACGGAGATGGACACCATCAATGAGGCTCTGGAGGCCCAGAGACAAGCACTGGATGAGCTGAAGCTGGAGTCAGAAGAGCTTTATAAAGCAGCGGTCAGTCCAGACACAGACATATTCCCTTTCCAGCATGAGGGGCCCAGTTACACACCCCCCATTACAAACTATGAGGCTCCAGAGGGCAAATACAACGACATTACACGAGTTTACACACAGTGAGGTGAGCTTGAGCTTGAAACGAGTGTTTTCTGGTCTGATGAAGAGCAGAAACATCAGAGAAATGAACTGAGAGAAGAACGAACCAAATTAACTTTATTACCATGTTGTGAATCATTGTTCTTCGTGTGTTAATCATCATTAAATCATGTTGTGAATGAATATTTGTCAACACCCGTTACAGCACAGGTTGTGTATCTGGAATACAAAAAAATAATAAAATTTTTGCAATTGATGTTGATCATTTGTTTCCTTATTTATACCTTCGGTTACACTTTATTTGAAGGTGTCCTTGTTACAGTGTAGTTATACATTTAAGTACTGAGTAATATTAATTAACTACATGTACTTACTATATGGTTAGGGTTACTTGCATGTAATTATGCATAATTGTTATTATAATAGTAAGTACATGTAACATGTCTAACAAGGACACCTTAAAATAAAGTGTTACCATACCGTTATTATGGTTTCTAGCTTCAGGCCAGTGATTTCAATGACTTTTAGTTGGTCATTGTCACAGTGGGAGGAATTCAGATAATTACAAATAAATTCACAATTACCCATTTACTATCATTTCTGATTTCTGTAGCACAATAAATAAGGTCTCCAGTGAAACAATAAAGGCCAAACTTGTACAAACATCCACAAAAACATTTATCATTGCATTGTTTTCATTCATTAACACGTGTACAGAATTGAAATACCTTTTGATTAACAACAGATGTGAAATTATAGAAATTAACAGTGTTGGGGAAAGTTACTTTTAAAAGTAATGCATTACAATATTGCGTTACTCCATAAAAAAGTAACTAATTACGTTACTTAGTTACTTTTTATGGAAAGTAATGCGTTACGTTACTTTTGCGTTACTTTTTCAATCTGGACAGGGCTTGCTTGTTTGTTTTTAAAATAAAAAAGTTATATTTTTGGCAAATATAAAAGCCTTTTCACACCAAAAGTGAAATGAATAAGCCTCAGGCTGAAGGGAAAGTAAATTTACGTCCGTACAGTAGAATGCAGAAGAAGAAATCTCAACACACTTCAGCAATAAAAAAACACACAAATGGTTAAAATCTATTAACATATTTACTGGCATAGCGCTCGAGACTTTTATAAAACTTTTATACAAATTATAATTCAACTTTATTCTGAGTGCTACTTGTGCACAATGTCCATTTCTTAATATTTCATCTAAAATGTGTTTTAATGTGTGTGTGTCTATTGATGATTGCATGGTCTTTGAATAATATCTTTAAATGCAAGATATTTAAAGTGTACCTGAAGTATACTTGCAATAGTTCCACTTTAACACAATCAAATACTTAAGTATATCTTTAGTTTATCACTACTTCTGCACAATTAAAGTGCATTAAGTACAAGTTGTTTAGCAGACTATACAAGTTTAGTATACCAAAAATACAATTGCACTGTATTTTTATTAAGTACATAAATATGTAAATATATTTGTAGTGTACTTGAAATTTGTAGTGTGCATGAAAGAAATGTATTTCAAATATATTTTAGTATATTTATTTTTCACTAGGGACAGCAGTGAGATCAAATTGAGACTTCTGCTTTAAGCCATAATTTATTGAATTATCTAGTCAATATTCTATTCTATTCTACTCTATTCTATTCAATATTCTATTGAACACACACACAAAAAAAGTCTCTGTGTGTTTTGCACAAGTTAAAGTCAGTGGGGTAGGACTGAAGAAAAAAAATCATGCAGATTTGGATCTGGACCGACATGAGGGTGAGTAAAAGAGATTTTTCATGTTTAGGTACTTCAGTATATCTTTAGTTGGACTTCAGCACTACAATTAAAGTGCATTAAGCACAACATTAGTTCTAATTTAGCAGACTTTAAGTATACCAGTTTAGTACACTAAAAGTACAATTGCACTGTTTTTATTAAGCACATAAACATGTTAATGCATTTGTAGTATACTTAGCATGAAATAAATGAATCTCAAATACATTTTACTATATTTATTTTTCACTAGGGTCATCAAATGCTTATACTTCAACGTTCGCTTTATTAATTCCATATACAGGTTGATCAAGACTTTTTTAGGCTGCTTTGCATTGAGCACCAGGAAAATCAGATCTACAACAGAACAGAAGTGCATCAGTCCAGGAGAGGTAGTGTGAGGAGGTTCCCAGCAGAAGTTCATGCATCTCAATACATAGTCCTTTACGACTTTATGAGTCCTGAGGCTTGCCCTGGTTGAGCGGCAGGTGCCAATCAGCCGGAGGCGTCTGTCGAAACTCCCAGACCGGAGTGAACTTCCCCTGCGCAGCGACTCGCTTCCTCTCGCTCTCCTGGAGGGATTCCTAATGGTGCATATGAGATGATAGATGAGTAGAAGGAAAACTAAGTGATTAGTGGCCAGAATAAACAGCAATGTGGCCCGGACCGAAACCTGAAAGCGACACACGGTCCTACATCGGTCTAGACTCACCTTGGCCTGAGTGCTGTGGTTTATCTCCCACTCTTTGCAGGTGTAATAGTCTTCTTTCCACTGCTGGCAGTCCGGTGCTCTGCCGTAGGTGTAGTATTCATGGAATCTGTTAAGTAAACTCTTGCAGTGCTTGAATTCACACCAGTAGACGTCACACGAACGTGGTGGCTGTGGGCAAAAAGAAAAATATATTCTTTAAAGGACCAGTTCATCCAAAAACTAAAATGACTCATGTTCAGGCCATGCAAGATGTAGATGAGTTTGTTTCTTCGTCAGATTTGGAGAAATGTAGCATTGCTTGCTCACCGGTGGATGCTCAGCAGTGAATGGGTGCCGTCAGAATGAGAGTCCAAACAGCTGATAAAAACATCACAGTAATCCACACCACTCCAGTCCATCAGTTAACGTCTTGTGAAATGAGAAGCTGTGTATTTGTGAGAAGCAAAGACGTTTTTTAACTTCAACCAGTTGCTTCTGGCTCCATAATAATACTTCATCCAGTGAAAAAGTAATCTTTTCTGATGTTCATATTTTTTTCCACTGCAGGAAGTGTTATTATGGACTCATATTTCAGCCAGAAGCCACAGTTTGAAGTTGTTTCTTACAAACACACGCATCTTTTGTCTTCTCCAGATGTTAACTAATGGACTGGTGTGGTGTGTATTACTTGTGGATTATTGTGATGTTTTTATCAGCTGTTTGGACTCTCATTCTGACGGCACCCATTCACTGCAGAGCATCCATTGCTGAGACACTGATGCAATGCTACATTTCTCCAAATCTGATGAAGAAACAAACTCATATTATTATTCATCTTGGATGATATGATATTTTAATGCATACTGTAGTACTGAAAGATTACACTTACAAATCACTGGTATTGCCACAGTACTTTTTTTGTAAGTGTACAATATTTATGAAGAATACCAAGGTTTTACCAAAGTAATTCGGCAAAAAAACATGGTAATACCATGGCATTTCTGTTAGTGTTCGATTCAGTTGAACATGAAATCCTGAGTACACTGACAGTGCTAGGTTAACTACACTTCACTATGCAAGTGCACTTTTAAAAACGTGATATTACCCTATATTTACAATGCAAAACGAGTTACTTAATGAACAATACAGAGATAAAATAATCAGACTGACCCTCCAGTTTGAGTGTGACCCTGCCATACTGCGCGCGCGCTCTTCTCTGCTGATTTCCAGCGCGTCGCGAATGATCAATGTTTTAGTTCTCCACTGCCATCTACTGACAATGTCAAATAAATACATTTTTGAATATAAATTTAATATTTGTTAAATTATAATTTAATCCTGTTCACATTCTATTTACGCGTTTGCGTTATATATGTTAATATGCTTAATATGTAGTGTGAGAATGATCTATTCGCGTCATCCAGACTTTTATTTTGTAGTCAGGCGGAAGCGGAAGTGAGCACCGGCGGCTTGTTTAGGCTACAGCGGTGTCTAGTAGTTAGTTTAACGTAAATCGGTGTGAGGTAAAAACACTTTAATGCCTCCAAAATGCCCTCTGAAAGTCTACGATGGGAAACATTAGAAGCCCTGAAAAACTCCTCGAAGGGGAAACTAAAATACAGTCCAGACTGGCTGGAAAAAGGGGAGGTAAACATGCTGACAAACTGAGAAATATTAACGCCTTATTTAGTTCATGTTTTATCATTACGGAGTTTTAATCACCTTTATTACTAATTAAACGTACCGTGCTGCTTTTTCACACGTATTCCATGTTATTCTGATATTATAATACCAAGGTATAAGAATATAACTTGGCTAACGTTACATGTTTATATCAGAATACCATGGTATTATTGTGATGCTATCACTGTACCATGGTACAGCTACAGTACCTAGTTATAGGTTTTACTCTGCTAAAGCCATAAATACATTATATACTAATAATTATGTTGATATAATAATGAATAAAACTCCAGTTATAGAGCACTTTTCACATAGGTGTTTAAAACATGATTAAAAACATTATTCATAAACAAGACAAATGTCAATAAATGTACTTCATTCTTCTTGGTGACATTCGTTGGACATTTTAGCTCTTATTCAACTAAAACCAAAATTCAAAGTGTTCGTTTATACTAAAAATTTAAAGGTCCCATATTGTCAAAACTGAAATTTCCTGGCTTTTTTCACGATTACTGAGGTCTAGGGGCTATGTAACTACCATATAAGTTTCAAAACAGTCAGTCCACAGT